TGCAGAGACTCTCTCTCTATCTAATTCACTATCTGTCATTAAAGTGTAAAATTTTTCCGAGGTGGACTTTAAAACAAAATAATCGTTATTATTTGTCGCACAACGCACGTTGCCATTATCATTTGAATCTGCATCCTCCACATTTATAATGGCCACGACGGTGTTGGGTTTCGCGTCCTCTGAAATCATATTTGATTTAGACATGATATGTATGTCTGGGCGGTTGTCATTCACATCTATTATATCAACGATCAGTTTAGAAGATCCAATCAGTCCACCATCATCCGATGCTCGAAGATTCACCTCGTAATTTTTTGCTTTCTCAAAATCAATTTTTCCATTTAAAGTGACTTCTCCGCTTTCTTTATCAATTTTAAACAACCCATGGCCCTGATCTGTCATCGCTGAAATTGAATACGAAATTCGACCATTAGCTCCCTCGTCCGCATCTGTTGCAGTAATTCTAATTATTACTGTTCCTATCGGTTGATCTTCTTTTATAAAAGCTTTATAAACGGGTTGTGTAAAAACTGGAGCGTTGTCATTTGCGTCTAAAACATTGATTATTATTTGCATTGTTCCGGTCATCTGCGGCTCTCCCCCATCCACAGCCGTCAGAACCAATCTAAGCAGTTCATTTTTCTCCCTATCAAGCTGCGCATTCAAAACCATTTCAATATTTTTACGACCTTCTTTTGGGTTAATCGATTTCAGAGAAAAAATATCAGAGGGGTTTAACGTATACGCTTTCAAACTATTCTCTTCTACATCGAGATCTGTCGCTCTGTCGAGTATGAATGTTGTGCCAATAAGTGCAGATTCACTGATGTTAAAGTGAGTCTGGCTTGTTCTAAACGTCGGGGGATTATCGTTTATATCTGTTATTTCCACAGTGACGCTGTAAAATTCCATAGGATCCTCCAGCAGTATCTGAAAACGCAAAGCGCAGGGAATTATTTGTTCACAGAGCGCCTCCCTGTCGATCCTTTCTTTCAGCAGCAGAATCCCTCTATCTCTGTTTAGCTCGACGTACGCTGTGCTATCGCGAGTGAAAACACGAGCTTTCCCGCTTTTCAGTCGCTTCACATCTAAGCCTAAATCCTGCGCAACGTTGCCAACAAGAGAGCCTTTTGTCATTTCCTCGGGAACAGAGTAGCTGATCTGAGCAGCCGCTGTGCTGAAGGAGACGAGCGAGAGAAACAATAGAACTTGCCGTCTAGTAGTCATGTCGGATAATGTCTTTAGATCCACAATGGAAACCCGTCGTCCAGCGTCACGTTTTTTATTGATCCAAAACGTGTTAAACATGTAGGTACTCCTCAAAACGAGATCAAAATTCCGAAACGGTATTGCTGAATGTTATACTCATCCGTGCATTTATCATTTACTGCCATGTCAGAGTCTTGTGTCTTTCTAAAATGTACAGACGATGGGAGGTACCACTCGCTTATGGAGTATTAAACGAGCTCAGACTGGTCAACAGCGTCGCTTGGAGTTAAAAAACAAAATTGCAATGCACATGCTGCCCCTGGAAATTCTGATCACTGAGCTATTATAAGATATGCAAAACTAACAGGCACTTTTGAGCATGACAATTACTAACAAGAAGGATAAATCCGTGCAGGAAAGTGAAGAAAAAAAAAAGGCAAACACTTTCTCATGAGAAAAGTTATTCCTTTGTATTACGTTGAAGGGCAAACACTGAAAACAGATACTTTGCATTGAAAGTTTGTGATGTCTTATTTAGAAAGATACTCATATACTAAGATACAATATTCTTTATGATGACATGTTGAAAATAAAACATAAAATGAAAGAGAAAAGACAATATTATGTCAAATGCAATTTCTAGAAGAGACATAGGTTTGACTCTATCCATGGTCCTGAATCCTTATGATAATGATGACGCACCCTCGACGGATCACGCCACAAACACTCTCAGCCATATATACATTGGATTCGAAAGCATTTCTGAAATAACTAACCTCTAGAGGAGAATCTGGTTCATCCAAGATGTTCTTCTCATTCTGTATCCGTTGCATTGTCCCAGTAGAACTGGGATCCATTATCAACATGTTGTGACTACCAGCTCTGCCAACCTTACAGTTACTTTTTCTGGAGTCAGTCGTCCTGCACACCTCGTAGTTGTACACATGTGGCAGAGTTCCTGTTCCCAAAGTGTCTGAGTAACGAGGTGGATAATATGGAATCACAGGGAGGCTGGAGTGATACAGGATGCGAGACTGTCTCCATCTGTAGATCTTCACTGATATAATAACCACTAAACACGTGATGAAGAGGAAGGAAACCACAGCCAGAGCCAACACTAAGTAAAAAGTCAGGTTGTCATTGTATTCCTTATCGTGAGGAAAGTCAGTGAACTCCGACAAGACTTCAGGGAAGCTGTCCGCCACCGCCACGTTAACAATGACTGTAGCTGAACGAGAGGGCTGCCCGTTGTCCTCCACTATGACAGTCAGTCTTTGTTTCACAGCATCTTTATCAGTCACCTGACGGATAGTTCTTATTTCTCCATTCTGTAAGCCCACTTCAAACAGCGCTCTGTCTGTGGCTTTCTGTAGTTTATAGGAGAGCCAGGCATTCTGTCCAGAGTCCACATCCACAGCCACCACTTTAGTCACCAGGTAGCCCACATCTGCTGAACGAGGCACCATTTCAGCCACCATGGAGCCACCAGTCTGGACTGGATACAAAACCTGAGGTGGATTATCGTTCTGGTCCTGGATCAGGATTTTCACGGTTATGTTGCTGCTGAGCGGAGGAGAGCCTCCATCCTGCGCTTTAACGCAGAACTGAAAATCTTTGATCTGCTCATAGTCAAAAGAGCGAACTGCATGGATGACTCCACTATCAGCACTGACAGATACATATGAGGAAACTGGCACTCCGTTAACAGAAGATTCCTCCAAAATGTAAGAAACACGAGCATTCTGGTTCCAGTCAGCATCTGTAGCTTTTACTGTAAATACAGAGACACCTGGTGTGTTGTTTTCTACAATGTAGGCCTCATATGACATTTTCTCAAAGACAGGTGCGTTATCATTCACATCAGAGATCTGCAGGGTGAGAGTAACGCTGCTGGAGAGGGAGGGCACGCCTTCATCAGAGCAGGTCACTGTGATATTATACTCAGAGGCTTTCTCTCTGTCTAATTCACCTTCTGTCAACAAACTGTAGAAATTATTTGACGTTAATTTGAGAAGAAAGGGAATGTCCTCATTTAAAAAACATTGAACATTTCCATTTTTACCTGCATCTGGATCCTGGATGTTAATCATTGTAACAACTGTATTGGGATCCGCACTCTCAGATATTACAGTAGATTTGGACATAATTTTAATTACTGGCTCATTATCATTTATGTCAACGACGTCAACCATCACTTTGCATGAATCTGTTAGCCCTCCGTTATCTCTTGCACGGACATTGATCTGAAAAAGCCTTTTCTTTTCATAATCCAAGCGCCCAATTAATGTAACTTCACCGTTTTCTTCATTTACTTCAAAAATCTGCCTTACTTCGTCTTTAGTGCTTGTAATGGCATATGTGATCTTACCATTCAAACCCTGATCAGCATCTGAGGCAGTAACAGTGGTCACAACCGTGCCCTTTGCAGAATTTTCACTCACAGTGGCCTTGTATATTGGCTGCGTAAAAACAGGCGCGTTATCATTCGCGTCTAACACTGTAATGAGAATCTGCATTGTTCCAGTCATCTGCGGCTCTCCTCCGTCAACAGCTGTTAATACCAAGGAAATGAACTCATTTTTTTCTCTGTCTAGAGGTTTCTGCAAAACCATTTCAACATTCTTTGTACCGTCAGCATGATTCTGTAGATTCAATGAAAAATGACCACTGGGTTTTAGGACGTAGCTTTGGAGAGTATTGATGCCAACATCCAAATCCAAGGCTCTTTCTAAGTCAAATTTCGCTCCAACAGCTGCAGTCTCGCTAATTAAGAATTTGATTTCAGCTTTTTCAAAAGTCGGAGCGTTGTCGTTGATGTCTGTAATTTCAACAGTTACGCTGTAAAATTCCATAGGATTTTCCAGCACGATCTGAAAATGCAGAGCGCATGGCGTTGTGTCGCCGCACAGCTCCTCTCTGTCTATTCTTTCTTTTACGAGAAGAACTCCTCTCTCATTGTTCAGCTCGACGTAATCGCTACTATCACCAGAATAAACACGGCCGTTTCCGAACCTCAGACGTTTAACGTCCAAACCCAAATCTTGAGCTACGTTACCAACCAACGAACCTGTCGCCATTTCTTCCGGAATAGAATAGCTGACTTGACTGAATGCTGCTCTAGAAAGGAGAGCGGAAACAAGCCACAGCACTTGCCGTCTCATTGTGTGAGGAAAATGTCGGTAAGAGAACAGTGCACCCTCCTGATTGTCCGCTTCAACGACAGAAGAATTAAAAAAAAAAACAAAGATAAACAATCCTCAGATTTCTGTGTGGAATAGAAATCCTGCCGCCGTTGAAGTGTTAAACAAATCCCAAGTGAAGACAAAGCGGTCAACGCCGTCCTCTTCAATCTTAAAAATATAAGCGGGGAGGAGGTGCTGCTGCTGTTTATAAATATGGTAACTGCAACGGAGCAGACAACAGCGGCCCACAGAGTCAAAACACGAAAACTGCATGAATTTTAATATGTACAGCAAAAAAGGTAAGAGAAAGAAAACAAATAGAGAAACGGAGATATATTATTAAATCATCTACCTCAAAATTAGATTATAAAAAGTACATATGTAGGAATAAACACGAAGAAAAGAAAGGCTTTATCACATTGTATGGCTAATAAAATATGATAATGTTGCTCTCCAAGGTGCTGAAGAAAATAATTCGTGCGAAAGGTTTTGCAGTGTTCACAATTGTGTTATTAAAAATAAATAAGAGGGGTAGAAACATGTCTAAAACATACAAATTTAAAAATATGTTTTTTATAATTTTAATTTATTTTTTTACTGAATGCTAACCTCTAGAGGAGAGTCGGGTTCATCCAGGATGCTCTTCTCATTCTGTATCCGTTGCATTGTCCCTGTAGAACTGGGGTCCATTATCAACATGTTCTGACTACCAGCTCTTCCGAACTTATTGTCGCTTTTCCTCGAGTCTATCGTCCTGCACACCTCGTAATTGTACACATGTGGCAGAGTTCCTGTTCCCAAAGTGTCTGAGTAACGAGGTGGATAATATGGAATCACAGGGAGGCTGGAGTGATACAGGATGCGAGACTGTCTCCATCTGTAGATCTTCACTGATATAATAACCACTAAACACGTGATGAAGAGGAAGGAAACCACAGCCAGAGCCAACACTAAGTAAAAAGTCAGGTTGTCATTGTATTCCTTATCGTGAGGAAAGTCAGTGAACTCCGACAAGACTTCAGGGAAGCTGTCCGCCACCGCCACGTTAACAATGACTGTAGCTGAACGAGAGGGCTGCCCGTTGTCCTCCACTATGACAGTCAGTCTTTGTTTCACAGCATCTTTATCAGTCACCTGACGGATAGTTCTTATTTCTCCATTCTGTAAGCCCACTTCAAACAGCGCTCTGTCTGTGGCTTTCTGTAGTTTATAGGAGAGCCAGGCATTCTGTCCAGAGTCCACATCCACAGCCACCACTTTAGTCACCAGGTAGCCCACATCTGCTGAACGAGGAACCATTTCAGCCACCATCGAGCCACCAGTCTGGACTGGATACAGAACCTGAGGTGGATTATCGTTCTGATCCTGGATCAGGATTTTTATAGTCACGTTGCTGCTGAGAGGAGGAGAGCCTCCATCCTGCGCTTTAACGCAGAACTGAAAGTCTTTGATCTGCTCGTAATCAAAAGAGCGAACTGCATGGATGACTCCACTATCAGCACTGATGGACACATATGAAGAGACTGGCACTCCGTTAACAGTGGATTCTTCTAGTATGTAAGAAATACGAGCATTTTGATTCCAGTCAGCATCTGTAGCTTTTACTGTAAATACAGAGACACCTGGTGTGTTGTTTTCTACAATGTGGGCCTCATAAGAGCTCTTCTCAAATACAGGTGCGTTGTCATTCACATCAGAGATCTGTAAGGTGAGAGTGATGCTAGTAGAGAGGGAGGGAACTCCTTCATCAGAGCAGGTCACTGTGATGTTATACTCGTAGGCTTCCTCTCTGTCCAACTCATTCTCTGCCACTAAACTATACAAATTATTGGATGTTGACATAATCGTAAATGGAGTATGTTTATTTATTGCACATCGGACTTTACCATTTTCTCCAGAGTCAGGATCACTAACGCTCATTACAGCTACCACTGTGTTTGATTTCGAATCTTCTCCTATTGAAATAGATGACGAAATAATATTAATAATTGGACTGTTATCATTAATATCACCTACATCAATAATTACCTTACAAGAGTCAGAAAGGCCTCCCCTGTCCACCGCCTCTACATCGATTTCATACTTTTTGGTTTTCTCATAATTGATAGGCCCATTTAAAATGAGCTCACCATCTTCAGTAATGTGGAATATTTCTAAAATAGATCTCACGCTATTTCCTATTACGTAGCTTACTTCTCCATTCGAGCCTTTGTCTGCATCGGAGGCACTGACTTTGGTGATTACTGTTCCTTTGACTGCGTTCTCCTGGACTGTAGCTTTGTAAATGGGATGCGTGAAAACAGGAGCATTATCGTTTGCGTCTAACACTGTGATATGAATCTGCATAGTGCCAGACCGCTGCGGCTCTCCGCCATCTACTGCTGTTAGCAACAATGAAATGAATTCATCCTTTTCCCTGTCGAGAGGTTGTTGTAAAATCATTTCAGCTCTTTTTCCACCGTCGGACTGACTGCGCACTTTGAGAATAAAATTATCACTCGGCTTCAGGAAATAGCTTTGGAGACCGTTTAACCCGATGTCGGGGTCTATTGCTTTCTCTAGCATGAATTTGGAGCCCACGACTGCAGATTCGCTAATTTCAAACCTTCTCTCTTCCTTTTCAAATACAGGAGCGTTGTCATTTATATCAGTGATTTCTACAGTAACGGAAAATATTTCTATCGGATTCTCTAACGCAATCTGCAAATGCAAAGCGCAAGGCGTTGTCTGAGCACAGAGAGCTTCGCGGTCTATTTTTTCTCTGATCGTAAGGAGCCCCCTCTCCTTGTTAAGCTGAATGTACTCGGCATTGTCTCCCATATGGATGCGAGCTTTACCCGCGTTCAAACGTTTAATATCCAGTCCTAAATCCTGAGCTACGTTACCAACCAACGACCCTTTGCTCATTTCCTCAGGAATGGAATAGCTGACCTGGCCGAGCACCAAATGCAAAGCGACGGCAGAAAAGACCAACAGTACTTGCCGTTTCATTGTTACACCGGGAGCATCGGTCCAGCAAAAATACATCCGCTTATGTCACTCAGCTTTTTTTTGAAGAGAAATATGATTGAAAGATGGATTGTTTAAACCAAGAACAAACCAAAAAAAAATTTAAAAGTTCCAGATTCATATATTCCTTGACGATTGTTTCTTCCGGTGTGCTCCACTGAAAAGCCTGTTCTTACTGAGCAAAAACATGGAGTTTTGCTTCTCTATAAACGCAATTTAAATAGCATTACGTTGATCAACAGCGGCCCAGAGAGTTCACATCACGCAACTGCAGGAGACGAAGAAAAAAAAAATTCCAACTCCCAATATGGTAATGAGGAACAGAAGTAGGCTACTATACAGTCAAAGTTGCCTTCTAACACAAAAATAATTAAATAAAAAAAATAATATAAAATTTGGAATATACTGAAAACATTCAAAGATTATTGATCATGTTAAGAAAGAGAGGGGTTTAATGAAATGCATTATCCTAAATAAATATGTTGCTAACCATGGTGCTGAAACCACATCGACTACAATAACAATAAAAAAACAGTTATTGTTTATTAAATATAAGAGGGATAGAGCATTCTAACCTCTAGAGGAGAGTCGGGTTCATCCAGGATGTTCTTCTCATTCTGTATTCGTTGCATTGTCCCCGTAGAACTGGGATCCATTATCAACATGTTTTGACTACCAGCTCCTCCGAACTTAATGTCACTCTTTCTGGAGTCAGTCGTCCTGCACACCTCGTAATTGTACACATGTGGCAGAGTTCCTGTTCCCAACGTGTCTGAGTAACGAGGTGGATAATATGGAATCACAGGGAGGCTGGAGTGATACAGGATGCGAGACTGTCTCCATCTGTAGATCTTCACTGATATAATAACCACTAAACACGTGATGAAGAGGAAGGAAACCACAGCCAGAGCCAACACTAAGTAAAAAGTCAGGTTGTCATTGTATTCCTTATCGTGAGGAAAGTCAGTGAACTCCGACAAGACTTCAGGGAAGCTGTCCGCCACCGCCACGTTAACAATGACTGTAGCTGAACGAGAGGGCTGCCCGTTGTCCTCCACTATGACAGTCAGTCTTTGTTTCACAGCATCTTTATCAGTCACCTGACGGATAGTTCTTATTTCTCCATTCTGTAAGCCCACTTCAAACAGCGCTCTGTCTGTGGCTTTCTGTAGTTTATAGGAGAGCCAGGCATTCTGTCCAGAGTCCACATCCACAGCCACCACTTTAGTCACCAGGTAGCCCACATCTGCTGAACGAGGAACCATTTCAGCCACCATGGAGCCACCAGTCTGGACTGGGTACAAAACCTGAGGTGGATTATCATTCTGGTCCTGGATGAGGATTTTTATAGTGACGTTACTGCTGAGAGGAGGAGAGCCTCCATCCTGCGCTTTAACGCAGAACTTGAAATCTTTTATCTGCTCGTAATCAAAAGATCTCACTGCATGGATGACTCCACTATCAGCGCTGATGGACACAAATGAGGAGACTGGCACTCCGTTGACAGTGGATTCCTCCAAAATGTAAGAAACTCGAGCATTCTGGTTCCAGTCAGCATCTGTAGCTTTTATTGTGAAAATAGAGACACCTGGTGTGTTGTTTTCTACAATGTAGGCCTCATATGACATTTTCTCAAAGACAGGTTCGTTGTCATTCACATCAGAGATCTGCAATGTGAGAGTAACGCTGCTGGAAAGCGAGGGAACGCCTTCATCAGAGCAGGTCACTGTGATATTATATCCACACTTCCTCTCTCGGTTTAATTCACCGTCTGTCACTAAACTGTAGAAATTGCTTGATGTAAATTTAATATTAAAAGGCACGTTTTCTTTTATAACGCAGCTAACCTTACCGTTATTTTCTGAGTCTGGGTCATCAACACTCAATAAAGCTATGACTGTGTTCACTGCTGAACTCTCAGGTACTGAGTTTGAAGTGGATATCATATTTATAGTTGGACTATTGTCGTTCACATCACTTACATCAATGATTATTTTACTCGAATCAGAGAGTCCACCTTGATCTATCGCTTCTATGTCGAGGTTAAATATTTTTTCTTTTTCATAGTCGATTAGTCCGTCCAGTATGACTTCTCCATTACGAGTAATACGAAACAATTTTGATACTGGGTCCATGCTATTTCCTACAATATACGTCACGTTTCCATTTTGCCCACTGTCTGCGTCAGAGGCAGTCACCTTAATAACGAGCGTTCCCTTTTCTGAGTTTTCAGTGATGGTTGCTTTGTAGATGGCTTGACTAAAAACAGGTGCGTTGTCGTTTACATCTAGAACTTTAACATGAATCTGCATCGTTCCCGTCATTTGAGGTTCTCCTCCATCCTCCGCTGTCAGAATTAAAGATACATGCTCTTGTTTCTCACGATCTAGAGGCTTCTGTAAAATCATTTCTATCTTTTTGCTTCCGTCAGACTGAGGATGCGATTTTAGAATAAAATTATCAATAGGCTTAAGAGTGTATCTCTGCAAACCGTTCATTCCAATATCGGGATCAATCGCTTTCTCTAGCATAAACTTTGAGCCGACAGCGGCCGACTCGCTTATTTCAAAAATCCTCTCCTCTTTTTGGAAAACTGGCGCGTTATCATTTATGTCAGTAATTTCAACCGTTACAGGAAATAACTCCAGTGGATTCTCCAAAGTGATTTGAAAATGTAACGCGCAGGGTGTCGTCTGTCTGCAGAGGGCTTCGCGGTCTATTTTTTCTCTTATGAGGAGAACTCCTCTTTCTTTGTTCAGCTCGATGAACTGAGCACTGTCTCTCGTGTAAAGGCGAGCTTTTCCGGACTTCACACGTTTCAGATCTAAACCTAAATCCTGTACAATGTTTCCGACCAACGAGCCTTTTGCCATTTCCTCGGGAATTGAGTAGCTAACATGACCGATCCCATAGTCGAAGCAGAGGACGGAGATCAACAGTACTTGCCGTATCATTGTTCTTTTTGTCTCCACTGTCACGGAAAAGCTGCCGAAATCTGGTTGTTTAAGATGAAAATCCGGTCAGACACACAAAGCGTTTAAAAATATTAACACAATCCAAGCCGTGTTAAGGCAATTCCACTTTAAAATGTCCACAGAAAAAGCGTGAAACCCGGCGTGTGCGATGTGTTTCTGACGGCTCCACAGTAATATGGTAAGCACGGCGTCTTGGTCAATGTGTTATGAAAGCTACTCTAAACCTCAACACATTGGGCAACAGCGGCCCGATGAGTACAAATCGTGGAAGTACAGAGAAGACCAAAATAGTGCGACAAAAAAAAAAAAAAAAAAAAAAAAAAAAAACATACGTTAAGAGACAGACTGAGAAAAATATTATAATTATTTCAACTGAAACCAATTTAAATCTAATATTAAAAATACAAATTGATTATAAAAACAAAAACTTAAAATAAATAAATTAAGGGATCAGATATAGAAAAAGGAAGGAAAAAAGACAAGCACTTGAAATGGTCACTTTCCAAAGCCACAGTCCATTTGCACTGTCCGGGGTGCTGAAGTACACTCGGTTATTTGATAGAGCCAAGCCTGACAAATTGCAAATCAAAAAACGTCAAACGTGGTTGACAAAAATGCTCAGCAAAAACAAAATTTTAAATGATATGAAAACTGGAGACATAACGTGAAAAAAAAATTACACATAAAAAGCATGGTTAGTTTTTTTTTTTTGATTATTTATGAATATAAATCACTACAAAGTGATGCTCATAATCAATAAATTGATTAAACATCAGCATAGTCGTCTAACCTCAATAGGAGAGTCGGGTTCATCCAAGATGCTCTTCTCATTCTGTGTCCGCTGCATTGTCCCCGTAGAACTGGGATCCATTATCAACATGTTGTGACTACCAGTTCTGCCAACATTAATGTCACTCTTTCTGGAGTCAGTCGTCCTGCACACCTCGTAATTGTACACATGTGGCAGAGTTCCTGTTCCCAAAGTGTCTGAGTAACGAGGTGGATAATATGGAATCACAGGGAGGCTGGAGTGATACAGGATGCGGGACTTTCTCCATCTGTAGATCTTCACTGATATAATAACCACTAAACACGTGATGAAGAGGAAGGAAACCACAGCCAGAGCCAACACTAAGTAAAAAGTCAGGTTGTCATTGTATTCCTTATCGTGAGGAAAGTCAGTGAACTCCGACAAGACTTCAGGGAAGCTGTCCGCCACCGCCACGTTAACAATGACTGTAGCTGAACGAGAGGGCTGCCCGTTGTCCTCCACTATGACAGTCAGTCTTTGTTTCACAGCATCTTTATCAGTCACCTGACGGATAGTTCTTATTTCTCCATTCTGTAAGCCCACTTCAAACAGCGCTCTGTCTGTGGCTTTCTGTAGTTTATAGGAGAGCCAGGCATTCTGTCCAGAGTCCACATCCACAGCCACCACTTTAGTCACCAGGTAGCCCACATCTGCTGAACGAGGAACCATTTCAGCCACCATGGAGCCACCAGTCTGGACTGGATACAGAACCTGAGGTGGATTATCATTCTGGTCCTGGATCAGGATTTTCACCGTAACATTGCTGCTGAGTGGAGGAGAGCCTCCATCCTGCGCTTTAATGCAAAACTTGAAATCTTTGATCTGCTCGTAATCAAAAGAGCGAACTGCATGGATGACTCCACTATCAGCACTCACAGATACATATGAGGAAACTGGCACTCCGTTAACAGAGGATTCATCTAAAATGTAAGAAACACGAGCATTCTGGTTCCAATCAGCATCTGTAGCTTTTATTGTGAAAATAGAGAGACCTGGTGTGTTGTTTTCTACATAGTAGGCCTCATAAAAGCTCCTCTCAAAGACAGGCGCGTTGTCATTTACATCAGAGATCTGTAGGTTGAGATTAACGCTGCTGGAGAGGGAGGGCACGCCTTCATCAGAGCAGGTCACTGTGATATTAAATAGGGAAGTTTCTTCTCTATCTAAAGCTACGCCTGTTTCTAAACTATAAAATCCGTTCTTTGCGTCCTTTATTTTGAAAGGAATTTCGTCATCAATTTTACAGTTCACCTCACCATTTCTTTCGGAATCAGGATCATTTACGCTGAGCATGGCAATCACAGTATTCTCAGGCGTGTTTTCTAAAACAGATGGTGATTTTGAGAGTATTTTTAACTGGGGACTGTTGTCATTAATGTCAATCACATCAATTATAATCTTACTGGAGTCAGAAAGCCCTCCGTTATCTGTAGCCTCGACGTCTATTTGTAAGAGCTTCGCCTTTTCATAATCTATTTCTCCTGTCAAAATAACCTCCCCGGATTTTCTATCGATTTGAAAGAGCTCGGATAATCGTTGCTTGCTATTTGTAATTGCGTATGAAACCTGCCCGTTTTGTCCTTCATCTTTGTCTGAAGCTCTGACAGCAATAACACTTGTACCACGCGGAGAATTCTCCACTAATGTCGTCTTGTAGACGGATTTAGTGAAAACTGGCGCATTGTCGTTTACGTCTAACACATTAACAGTTATCTGCATTGTCCCTGACATTCGCGGCTCTCCGCCGTCCACAGCAGTCAGCAGCAAAGATATT